TAATATTTTAAAATCAAATAAAATACGTCAAATCCGCGATTTTCTTTTAGGGTGTCAAAAAAAGAAAAAAAAAACAATTTAGAATTGAAATAAAACTTACGAAGCACGTGTCGGTAAAACGTCTAAACAACTTTTGTCCCCATTTGATTAAATGTGTAGCGAGAGTCCAATCAACGTGTAACATTCATGAGTCATCACTACATAAATAGTAACAATGCTTCTTGTCATTAAAATAAATGGATTCGACTCTTTAACCGCGGAACGAACAATCATTAAACCAGACAGAACGCCGGGATAATTAGCGCGCAAATTTTTGCGTCTTATTTCTTTATCCTCGTAAATTATGCATATATTACACACATATATATATATATGCACACGATCTTGCAACACGTACACACGCGAGCGTTTATTTACTCGACATGTTAATCGCACGTGATACACCTTTATCGCTATAAACATTGCTTATTAGCGCGCACATTGGAACACGAGGAAAGAGATGAACGAGCGCGGATAAGCACCAGATAACACCTGACTCTTCGTCTTATGAAATACCAAACGTCTGTTTCGCGAAACGCCCACACTACGCAGTTCAAGCTCGAAAATTCCGAGATTAATAATTGCGCATAACTTAAGCTCTTAAACCTGTTTAATAAGTCTCTCTCTCTCTCTCTCTTTTCTCTCGTACATACAAGACGCGATAACATTTACGATTTATTTGTGTTCTTCTGTGAAACAAGACAATCGAATGAACGGGACAGCGAGCTGCAACACGTTCGTTTTCATTCATAAGCGAACATCCTCGCAAAAATGTTCGACGATGAAAAAGAAAATATCGTATGTGCGTAGTATGCACACGCATATATATAGGTGATATATATATATATATATAGGTTGACGATTTTGCTCGACACATTGAGAGCGTAGTCGGTGTGGAAACCGGTTCGCGTGATTATTATAGAAACGACCGTGCGCAACTCCCGAGAAGAAATGGTCGTGAAAATGTGTTCACAAGATTACACACGTGCACGCAAACGCGAGAAAAATTCAATAAAACATTTTCTCACGAAAGACAGTCGGGCTTATTTTGAGGCTTTCGCGCGGAGAATTAATCGTCGCCCGACTGAGAGATTCGAGACAAATTTCGATCGGCAAGGTTTTTTCTGAGTGAGTCACGCTCACTTCTGTTTCTTTCTATGTAGAATTGATCAATTAGTAATTCAGAGTCATAATGCGTAGTGGATTGCGTACATACATGTAACGGCTTATTTGCGCGACGAAAACAGCGATTAATTTTAATTAAATATTCGTAACATTCGCAGAATGTTATGAATTTGTATAATAAGCCGTAATACAGAGATCAATTAATTACATCATTTCCAAGAGAGCTCGCTTAATTTTTTTTTAATTTTTATTAAACATGTGTGCGCAAAAACGAAAAATCTCGCGAAGAATATGCAAGAGAATTGGTTTTTTTGCACTTTTTTCTTCGAAGTATTTACATAACTTTTATATACGCGCTTATTGATTGTTTGATTACTTTTATTTTATTATCTTCAATTTTTGTGCGAATTATCATCGATTGCGTGTCCGCGTCGTCATTCCCAAAAGATAAAACACGGCTATTACGTAATTTCAACCCGCGATGATACTCTTTTTTTGCAATTCGGGCAGTTCGTGGAACAAAAAAAGAGCTCGCAAGTTTCTTTTCTCTTTTGACAGAGTAACCTTGAAACACGAAGAAGCGGAGAGAAGCGGACAACACACAAACTGTACGATGCGCATTTCTTTATATCTTTGCTTACTCTTCTTACGTCTCCCTCTCGTTCTAAGTCTCGTGAAATAAATCAATTGGTTAGCTGATACTTCGACTGAGATAATAGCAGTGGCGACATGACGCAAACGCTAATCTCGCATTACACAAGAGCGCGCGAGATTAGTGGCGCTTTTTTAACGCGATGTACTATTTTTGTTCGTGTATGCGTAAATATAAATCGGAAGGCATAGAGATAGAAAGGTTTTGCGCCAAAGACGTGCGTGCAACGTACAAAGACCGTGTGTGCTATGCGTATTGCAATTTCTAATATTGGCACTGTTCTCGTCGCGTGTTTACGCGAGAAAAGTGCGCGCTCTGCGTCTCGCAGAACCGCGCGCGCGCAATAAACAAAGTTCGGTAAACCTGGCAATAACACACAACCGTCCCATCATCGTATTTTCATCGCTTCTTGTTATCCTCCATTGTCTAACAGGTTACGCAACGATGACGCGTCTCTCGCGCGCCAACTCTACGACTTCGCGACACTTGCTTGTTTTGCAAATTTAAACGATTGTCTCGCAATTCATTATCGTATATCAATATTGTGCGCTTCGAAGAGTCATTTTTTTAATATATACTTATAACATTGAAGTTATACATTCGCTTGGATAACATAAAAAATTAATCTGTTAAGTTTCGTCGCGACCATTCTTCGATTTTGACGTCAGAACGAGGAAAATCGCCGAAGTCTCGTGCAGTTTATTTAAAACTAATAAACACAAATAAATTATTATTTGAAAATGAACAAATATTTCTGTACAAACGCAGAATCACATTGAGTATCACGTTTGGAAAATAAATCCGGACGCGGTTTTCTTTGGATTTACACACAAAATCATATCAGCAAAGTCGAGACGAAAAATATGAAGCTTCTGCAACGTGTCATACGCTGATATGATTTCGTGTTGAGAAGAAAAAAAAACGTTCGATATATTTTACGAGTGTGCTCTGTCGATTCCATGCGCGCGCGTTTGTACAAAAATACTTTTCCGCTTCACAAAAAGACTGGACTAAAACTTTGCGCAATTTTTCTCGCTTAAAGAAATCTCTGTATGTAAATTTTCTTGAAATAAAAAAATTTAGAAAATAAAAAAATGCAAAATAGGGTTTTTCTTTAAAAATTTCATAATTCTATGTATGTCGTACGGAGAAGAGAAAATTTTATTGCGCGGATCGTCGTTGAAACTTATACGAATAGAAAGAAACACGCAGCATCTGCCTCGGATAAACGAAGGAATTTAAGGACGGAACGGTGAAGGAAATAGGCGTTCTACGCACACACTATACTAATTGACAGAAGAGAGTCGGTTTCTTTCGAATGCCAAACCTAACCCTGCCTAACCCAACTGCAGTCTTCGAGACGGCGTCACTGGGCGCGCACGACGCGATCCAAACACAACAGAGACTTGCATACAATCAGTGCGATAGAGAACGAAGAGAGAAAGAAACAGAAAGAGAGAGAGAGAGAGAGAGAGAGAGAGAGAGAGAGAGAGAGAGAGAAGGGAGAGGGGATGAAAGCGTCTGGGTTATTGAATCGCTAATAACAGTTGTATCACGATATATAACGCTGCTCACGTTGATAAATTGGCGTGATGCCGATCCTATTCAACCGGCAAAGTTGCGCGACGATGGTCATCTCCTTCCCCTCCCTTCCCCCGATCCGGAGCACAAGAGCGCGCTGGATGTTAACAACTACCTGCTCAACATGTGTGTATCACGTACATACATGAGCAGCGCGAATGTATGCTGTGTGTGAGAGAAACGGCGGATATTCTCTCTGCGAGTTTCACGTGCGCAATTGCAATATAATTACGATTACGGTTGTAATATATGTCCATAGAAGATGTAACAACAACACGCAGATATATAAATACAATACACAAAAAGGGGGATAATCGGCATGCGTGTAAAATCAAAATGCGTGTTACTTGCGATTGTACTTATCGAAAAGATAAGGCCGCGTGCTCTACAATATAAATTTTTTTTTCCTCCGATCTTTTAATAAACGATAACTCTCTGGCGTGTCTCTCGTTCTGTCTCTCTTCCACAAATGCGCGACGCGTACGTGACCGAACGGCAACCTTGCGCGCGCATTCTCGCTCGCCGCCGAAAACAAGCCGACGGCCACGCCGCGGCGTTGTTCGTCATTCGCCATCTTTGTCTAAAATTCTACTACGCCGTTCTAATGTATTATGCTACTACGTGCTACACGTACAACACGTGATAAACAACAAAGACGCGAACGCTGGCCAAGTAGATTACCCCCCCATAAGACGAAGAAACGACGTATTCGTTGTTTTTTTTTTTCACGCAGCGCGAACGTAAGGCATAAAAAGAAAAAACTGCCTACTGTTCCGTATTATTACGCGCAAAATGGCGCGGCGGTCGGAACCGGCGACCGGAGCGATCAGATCGAGTAGAGTCGGCAGCGATTCTCACGCAACTTCTCGCCGAAGTAAAATCACAAAAGTCATCGTCGCATATAAACCTACATACATACATATATAATACATATATTAATATATACACATATACACACACACACACACATATAAGATACGAAAGTAAAGTCGCGTGTCGCTTGTTATCGCTATTAAAAAATTACATTTCCATCAGGTGTTTTGATCATGGACATGGGGCGAGTTGTTTTTGTTAGACACCTGCTAGTTACGCTCACGCGTCTGTCCATAAATTTATAAGAGAGAATGTTTTTTTACCAACAAGAATTGTGTATACGCGATCAGAAAGATAATTAAGAGAAACAAACGAGCGATCGTGAAAATTTTCGGCGTTTTTGTCTAACGAAACAATCGTTATCGTCGATTCTCGTCGGTTTAAACGGCGATCGCGTTGTTGTGTATCATGACACGGTGACATACCTAAATGTTATCGCCGTGACTATCGAGACTGGCAATTAGCGTTTTACACACACGGACGACGGCAAAGCAAGTTTAAATACACGTCGTCGTTTGCATCATTTTTCTCGACGACGAACCGTTGTCTGAGAACCACGTTGCCTACGTGACTCGCAGAGCGTCCGCGGAGCCTTGTGATTCGCGGGTTGACGGTGGCGAGATGGATGCCAAGGCGGTGTCGGGACGACCGAGGGGGGAAATTCACGATTCGACGAGCGGAGCGCGGCGCGAGAGGGGTCGCGCCGAAGTGTTAGTAAGCAGGGCCGGCCATCTTGTCGAGCTCAGTCGGAAACCAGCTGCCGAGCAGTGAGGGATGGTGATGAGGACGAGTGACCAGATGTGTTAGACGAAGGGTTTTTTTAATGCGCTTCCGAGCCCGACTGCCGCTACGTGCGAGAGGCTGTGCGATAGCAACTGCGGAACCACGGCAACAACCATCGCGGGACTTGCGAAAAGGTCCGGTAAATCCGGTTGAAAACCTTGAGCGGAGGAGGAGCTGCGGAGGAGCGGAAAGAGGAGGCGGAGGAGGTAGAGGAGGAGGCAGTGGCGAAGAGATCGCGGAGAAGGTTCTGGCGTGAGGCTTGACGGAGACGACGAACTTTTCGGCTTCTCATCGACGGAAAAGGCTTGACTGCTCGGTTGGTGAGAAGAGAGAGAGCGAGCGAGCGAGCGTGTGTGTGTGTGTGAGAGAGAGAGAGAGGAGAGAGAGAGAAAGAAGCGCACCGGCGAAAATCAACTTCGCGGGAGTATAATATATATTTTGAGGAGAAGGAGGAAGATTTTGAAGAAAAAGCGGTGGATGACCGACCGAGAGAAAGTGCAGTGTCAAAGTCTGTGATAGAGTATTTATTCAAAAAAAACCAACACACAAAACAATAACAACGTCGTTATCAGAGCACCTGTGTCATCGTTGTTCGTCGGAAAAAGGAACAATCGCGCGAAGAAGAGATATAGAAAATAGGCTTTATATATTTATTTGTATCTGTGATATCGACGCTGATATATATCGACCATCTTTGTGAAGAGCAGAGAGCAGAGAGAGAGAGAGAGAGAGAGTGTGTGAGAGAGTGAGAGTTAGGAGAGAGAGAGAGAGAGAGAGAGACGAACAACGCGAAAAAAAAAACGAAATCGGAGAGGTGGATCGCTTCGAAGGAAGATTATATCAGTATCTTAGTGGATAGACTTTTTGTATATACGACTGACTCTTTTTTATAATTATTGCTACGAGCAGTACCGAGTTACAAGAACAGAAAAAAAAAAACCCAGATCTCTCCGACAGTGGTGAGGCAGAAAGTTCTCCAGGATCTTTCCCGGACGGTCATCCGTAAGAACGCGAGGAGTACGTGAGAAGGCAACCATGGTGGAGAAAATTCTGGAGGAGAGAGAGGACGGCAATCAGGAGGCTGGACGAGGTGAGCAAGATAGTCTTTTTCATTCACGATCTCACGATCAACGACTTTGACAGAGCACAAATTCCGTCACTTCTTTCGTCATCTCTCTTCTGTCAAACTTCTTTTGAGTTTTTTTTTCTTATCATCGCGTATCAATTGTTTTGACAAACCTTTTAACAAATAAAGAAAATTCAATAAAGTTCTTTTAATACTTTAAGTTTGCAAAGCTCTGAATTTGAAATTACGATGGTTTTTTTTTATGAATTGACGATATTTTCATCATCTGCTTTGTTCGCGTGAGACGTCCGTTTCTTTTCTCGGGAACGCAATGTATATTTTCGATTAAAAAAAAAAAAAAAAAAGTCTACCGGAGAATTTGTCACAATTTAAAGTACAATGTTTTATTTCGTAATGCTTTTTGTCGTCTATCGACATTTGTTTTGCGTTGCCGGTTAAGAGCTGGTTAAACTCGGCCGCACACAGAGCAGCGGCGGCCATTTTCACCGGTCGATGTGTTACGAAGCGGGTGGTATATATACATGTATACGTACATACAATAAAATGCTCTTTCGCGTTTTCACCCGCTGTTGCGAGGCGAAATGTGACCAAAGATTATAAGAGAAAGAGAGGAAGGAAAAAGAAGCGTGACACAAGTCGAAGGATTCGTCGACGGAATACGAGACACGTTGGCGGAAATGCTGTCCCGGCTGAGATATACGCGTGTGTGGTATTACGCCGCTTTAGCAATTCGCTCGTTGTCGTCGTCGTCACCGAGTCGCGCGTCACGAATACCAACTGGCGAATAAATCGAACGTGGTAGAACTTTCTCGTAACGCGACACTCGCGCGTTACGCCGGCCGGTGAGCGCCGCTGCGGCGCGAGCGCTTCCTTTCTTACCTTTTAAAACGAATCACAATATCTTTTTTTTCTTTTTTTTAGACAAAAATAGAGAGTTACAACGACGGAGAGAGAGAGAGAGAGATAGACGGAAAAGCAATTGGATTTGTACGATTACTTGAATTTTGCGATAAGCAATAATATCGAGTTTTTTTTTTCATATGCGAAGAAATCCTGTATGTTGGTTTTTTTATTCGATACGCTTTTTCTGGTCTGGTATATATATATATATATACACCTGTATGGAACTGTGCAAGTAATTTTACTCTCAAAAGATACTATACATGTTAAAGCTCATTTGCTTCATTTATTTACGTTGTCAACGAAGTCGGATGAACGTAAATATTTATCGATCGATTAATAACACGTACGTGTCTATGTAAATAAACCTTACATAACTTTTCTAATCAATCGACCTATACTAATTGCGAATCACAATTCGCGCGCCTCTCGTGCCTTTTATGTTACTCTTCTAAAAATGGAAAATCACAAAACAATTTTTTGACTGAGATAATTATGGCGTTCAAAAATTACATAACGCTGGTAACTGTTGTAACGAAGTTAAAACTAGGAAACATTCGGAAATTTATATAACGGATTTGATAGCGGAGTAAACACGCGTGTAATTACTTTTTCTCATATCGCGTCTGACGCGTCGTTAAAATTCATCCGTAAAAAGATTAAAAAATAAATAAATAATTATAATCTTTTTGTTTAATTTTGCTGTTTACTCAATTAACAAAAAAAAAATTAGGTACGAGAAAATGTGGAACACGAGCGAGTTCTTCGGTTATAGCACGCGCGTTTGCGAAAAATTATGTCGCCTCTCTCGCTCAACGCAGTTTCAAATCTCATCATCGAATTTAATCCCCGGGCTGACGCCTGATCTTTTTGCGACGATTTTGCGCCAATATCTTCTTCGCGAACTCGGGGTATTTTTGGGGCGGGTGAAACGCGACGCGCGATTTTGCAACGTCGTTTTCGAGCCGCGAGCTTGGCACGACGTGTATCATTTGGAGGGTGAGAGGAGGGGCGGGCGACAGGGAGGAGAGGGACGAAGTGGGTTAGTCGGTTCGGAGTTTGGCGCCGGATCACGAAGGGAGAGCGAGAGTTGGTTATAGGGCGACCCAAACAAAGAACGAAGGGAGAAAGGTCTGCGCATGTCAGTTTCGTACGCTTTTAAAGGGAAACACGCAGGATTTGAAAAATTTATACGAGATCACATCGAGAGTTCTGTTTTTCTTTCGCGCGATATATAATCGAAGGCAATATAAACCGACGACTATAGCGGCAATATAAGTCGCCGAGTGGAAAATTGCAAATTGCGAACCAAATAAGCAATTACTCTCGTCGGTGTGGAAAAGTCGTGAGGAATTCTCCGTGTATACGTTACCTCCGCGCGCAATTTTCACGTAACAACGTGAAAAATTTCCAAGTCACGTTCCGCCGCGTCGAATGATTACTCCCTTTTTCGCCTGAAAATCTTTTAATTGCACACCGATGCGAACTGCGCTTAATTTATGCGAACGCTGATACAAACACGTGTGTTATTCTTCGTAACGTTTTTTTTTTTCTTGGAAGGTTCCCCTAGCCGGTTAAACCGCATCGTTACGTACGATGCTTCGAATTATGTCACTTTTTTTTCGCAGTGATTTCGAACGACAAAAAAAAACTTGAATTTGCTTCGGTCCCGTTGTTTGTCCTCTCGCGAATGAGTTTTCGTTCTTCCGCTCGTTTATTTTATCAATTCGGTCTAAACGTTTCTAGACGCGAGGATGCTATTTATATATATAGCAGGCGCAATTTCATCGCGAATCCCGTGTGCAAACCCATAACGACGGTCTCGGCAGCGCGCGATAATCGCGGCGTGTAATAATCATCACCGACGAGCGCGCGCGCGCGCGCGGTATCTCGCGCGTAAGATAGCGACATTCCTTTTCTGTGCCAGTCATTGAACTCTCGCGTTGTGTGTCGTGTTGTACGTACCGGAGTGTCGTCGCGACGCGGCACGAAAATATATTCGTCTCGCGGCACCGAAATTAAGATGACGCGGGAAAATACGCGCGCGAGCGAGTGGGCGTGGAGAAGAATCAGGAGCGTCCTCCTCTCCTGTGAGAGAAATCTAACAAATCGTTTCTGACAATTTGTTTTCGAGTCGTTGTTTCCAAGCGGGAGACGGACTTCGGGATTGATTGTCGTTTTCGCAGCGACATCAAAATCGAATTTTCTCGTTTTTTTTTTTTTTTTTCAGAAGTCGCTGAGTGACGATCGATGACGAATCCTCGGCGACGAACTTTGTTTCACGCTTTGTGAATTAACTTTTTGTCTGATTTATATTCGCCGCGAGTCGCGAACATGTAGCGCACCAACTATATTTGTAGTAGTAGTCGAGTATAATTGAATGCGCAGTCATGTGTGTAGAGGACGAGGTTAAATATAATTCGCGCGTAAATATAAATATCTTTGGAAACCTGTTTCTTTTTTTTTTTTTTTTTGTCTCTCTCTCTTTTAAGTAACACCGAGTCGTGTGTTAAATAATCTTCTAATCGATGAAATGCTCGTTTTTGTTTTGTGGTGTATTATATGAAACTGTCCGTATAATCGGTCATTGCGATTATTGCGGACCGTGTATGTAGTATGACTTACAGTTACACAGGCTCTCGTTCTTGATCCGGCTCTGATTTTCTCCTCGACCCACGCGAAGACCTGTGCGCGCCTATCGAGTCTCGAAGGAGTGGCAAAATCTCGATTCACGCGATATTCCCGACTCTTCGCCGTGCCGCTTTTACATTTATTTTCCTCTTAGTTATTTTTTTTCTTTTGTTTTTTTTTTTTGACTTTGAGGATTAATGAAAGTCTTCTGTTAAGGGGTAAGATAAAAAGATCGCTTCTTATGTACGATTGAAAAAATATACGTGTACTTATTTAATGTATACATATATTTTTGTTCTTTTAGTTACATAAAATAACTAATTAATCTTTTTGATGAGCGTGAAATATTGATTTTAACATACAAAGGCTTCTCTTTCTTATAGATAAAATAGTAGAAAAACGGTTATCGTAGAAATAACATGATCTCGATCTGATGACAAATATCTTTTTGTTTTTTCTTTTTTTCTCTCTCTATCTTGCACGCATTTTCGCGCATTTCATGTGTATGTATAAATATCTGTTGCAGTATAATTTCTGTTAACACGAAGACTATGAATCGCGTACACACCGCTTACTGGTCTTTCTCGAGGCTGCGCCTTCGCGCAAGCCAAACGGTTGAACTTTCCCAGCAAGAAAAGAGAGAGAGAGAGATACGTGTACAACTGCCGTAGAGGCACGACCGCCTCGTATCGGGGACCAACAGTCCCATTTTTAGCGGCTGGATTAGAAAGTGCGAAGACAACTATCTACGTATATAGACCGATGCAAAGTTACTTACTCTTGACGCCAACCTTTTCTATGTAATTTTAAATTTTATTTTTGCTCGTGAAAATTTTCAACGTCGTTATTCGTAAATAATACGATCATCAGTGTTGAGATTTCAGGTGCGACACACCTGTAAAAAAAATAAAAATAAAATTGTTGAAAAATATGTAAGATTGATGGTTATTCGATTTGAATTCAAAATCACTTGTCCATCGAGTACAATGCGTTGTAAAAAAAATAAAAAAAAATAAAAAATGGTGACGCGCAATAAACGTGTTTCAGCCCTGTTGTTATCGCCCGCTCTCTCGAGTGTACAGAAAAATGATTCTCGGTTCTTCGTTTATACCCTCGACTAAATCGATTGTGCGGCAATGCTACTCCCCACCGGTTTTCGTCCGGACAAAAGTTTGGCCTTCTCTCCATAATCGACGCACCCCTATAGAATCCCGTTCTTGTTCCCTCCCTTCCGTACGCGTGCGTTTTATTTCAGAAAGAATTTATATTCCACGCGAGTATATTCGACCGGTAGAAAAAAAAAAAATAAGGCAAAAACTCTCTCTCTTTTGATTATTACTGTATTATTTTTGCAACTTGTATTACGTTTCACGTTTTACATCGTGTTAGAAATAGCTGAGTAGGAGATAACGACCAGACGACGATAATAACGCGAGCCGTATTTTAAACCCTCGACCAATGAGAGTACGGTTATACGCATAAAAATAGCACTTCTCAATGATGCAAAATCTTCTTGTTTACGCGCGATGTCTTTCTTCTCATCGTAAGTGCATCATTAATTCTTATATCACGTTTCGCCGCGAGCTGTGATAGGTTAAAAAAAATTTATACATATATATGTACATACGTATCTTGTCAGCAAAATTTATCGCGCCGCTGGGTGTTGATAGCGCCGCGAATGATCACGAGCGTGAGAAAGTGACCAATAATCACGTCATGCGACGTCGAGAAGATCATAACAAATAATGACACAATAATAATAACAACAACACAATAATACGGAAATTTGTCACGTGTGACAAAAAGCGCGAGTTATTTTGAATTAACAAAAATTTGTGTGTGTGTTTCAGTCGACGGCACCTGCCGGGATGTAACATCAACGGTGGAGTCTATGAGCGCGGTGCAAGCCCGTCAGGAAGAAGCGAGACGCAAAAGACGCAGAAAGCGACGTTCCGGCTCGTCCGTAGTGTCTTCCTGCTTCCAAGGTAAATTCGCTTGGAATGTGAAAAAAAAAAAGAAACGTGAAAAATAGAGAAAAATCATACGTCCGTGCGGAAAGAGCGAACTAGCGATATTTGCAGTGCGTCACTGGTGCGAGATGTCCTTGGGATTGGCGAGGAGAAGAGAAGCGAGAGAGAACTTAAATTGAAGATGATGATGTTTATTTGAGGTAGAGACAATATTGGTGAATTATAAAAGCTTAGAGTTTTTGAGTTGACGACTTGACGGGAAAAAGGGTGTGGAAGAAGGGAAGAGGAGGAAGAGGGGAGGGTAAACAAGTAAGCAGAAATCGGAGTAGAGCGGTGGTTGTGTGTTTTGCCGATTCTTATATATTAAAAAAAACCAAGTTCCATGCATATGTCACCTCGGGGTGGCGCAGCTCTTTCTCTCGCATCGATGACTTTGCAGTTTTCCTCGAAGGTATGTGTGACCTTGGACAAGTTCGAAACGCTCGAGAAACTCGGTGCGAGGAGGTGACAATCGATCGCGCAGACGCTTTAGAGTCTCATGTATATATACATACATATATACGCCGCGCGCGACTCACATGTTCTGTTATAAACATCAAAAGTTCTTGTCCCCGGCGTAAATACGTATATTTCGAAATGCTTTGCTTTGTTTTTCAATTGAGACACAAAATATTGTTTTTACGTATTATTTTACTCTTTTGTTTTACGTAAATATAGACGTTCTGTTTTCACATGAATTTTTTAAATATCCGTTTGGATAATTTTAACACAAAATAAGTGAACAATTCACAAAGGTATCTTGTACATGGAATTTTGATATTCTCAGTAAATGAACTAAAACTAGTAGTTTCACAAGGAACGTGGAAATAAAATTAATCCGAGTACGCAGAGCCCTATAGCTAACACGGTTATTTGGCCACGAAGTTGCTTGTTCGATCGATAGCCCGGCCCACGAGGGAGAGAGTGCCATGAATTTGCTGTACGTGAGTTTTCGGTGCGAGTGTCGGTTTCCATAGAAGTGGTTTGGATTTAGAATTGTACTTTAGTTGCACTGTTAACGTATCGGTTGCAAACTGGTTGCAAAAATAACGCGTAGATTTATTATTATTTGAAAAAAAAACAATATTTTGAATCCGTTTAAAATGAATTTTTGAGAAGTTTTAAAATTTATGGTGCATTTAAAGTAATTTTAAAAAGTAACGTATAAAAAAGCTTTATCACAGTTGTATTTAACGTAAAAATAATGTTGATTGAATTAGTTACATCATCTTGTACGATCGATTCGAGAACTCAGCTAGGCTCGAGAAGTTTCTTCTACCCTGTTGGAACGTATGACGTCGATAGTGCTTCCTTCCTTAAACGTTTCATGTATATACACGTACACATCTCTTTTTCTCTCTCTCTCTCTCTCTTTTCTAATTGTGTGTGAGTCAATGATCGCGTAATTTTCGAAACGCTATGTTTGTTTGTTTTGTCCGCTGTTAAAATTGGAATAAAGTAAAGAGAGACATGAAGGAAGTATATATTATCGGCTTCTGGTTGCTAGGCCGTTGGCGACGCTGCCTGTGTTGTAATTCTAACATATAAACGGAGCGAAAAGAGTGGCACGAGAGAGAGAGAGAAAGAGAGGAGGTACCGTGGATAACGCGGAGACGTGGCAACGTAGGTACGTAATGCTCGAATGGAGCAGGGAGAAATGGGGGGAAATCAGAGAGAAAGAAAGGAGTCCGCGATAGCTGACGCAAAACTTCCGAGAGTGGGAGAAAGAGGAGGAGAAGAGGAAGAGGGAGTGAGCGAAAATTTGGTATGTGCGTCGTAGTTCCACGCTGCTGATCTCGGCCACCCCCTCTCGACCTTGACATTGACTGTGTCGGAACAAGACACACCGCTGTCACGCGCTCATCACGTTTCGAGACCCAGCCTATTTAGATCGAAGATAATTGTAACCACGAACTTTTATGACGGTGTTTAAAATATACGTCTCGAGATGTTTTTATTCCGATGCCATCTTTTTTTTTTTTTTTATTTAAGTTTTGAGTTGTGCGCAATATACTTGTTTTCTTTCGGAAAATGATGTTTTTTTTTCCTGACTATATCGCAAAGACAGTGTTTCTAGTGTTTGATTCTCGAGCGCTTCGATCGATCTGTTAAGACTGTTTTGCGGTTACGATATAATCATAATAACTAAAGTGACGCGCTTTATGCCGCTAACGCGCGGTTGTGTAAGCGCGCTAAAAGCGTTAAAGACAAAGTAGATGTTTTTGAAAATAGACATGTGTAAAATGGAGCTTTTATATTGCTGTTGCCAGAATTATACAAACTGACCGGAGAAGTGCTTGGGGAGGGCGCTTACGCCTCGGTTCAGACTTGCACCTCCCTCTACACCGACCTCGAATACGCTGTGAAGATCATCGACAAGATCCCTGGACATGCACGTGCCAGGGTGTTCAAAGAAGTTGAGACGTTCCATCATTGCCAGGGTCACCCGAACATCATACAGCTGATCGAATTCTTCGAAGATGAGGAGAAGTTTTACCTTGTCTTCGAAAAGATTAACGGTGGCCAATTATTGAACAGGATTCAGGAACGGATTCACTTCACTGAGAGGGAGGCAAGTCAAATTGTCAAGGAGATCGCGAGCGCGCTCGACTTTCTTCATAAGAAAGGTAATTTTGACAAATTAGATTAATAATTAATTAATTAAAAAAAAAAAAAAAAAAAAAAAAACAACGACGAAAATGTTATGTTTTATTTGTACAGGAATTGCCCATAGAGATCTCAAGCCCGAGAACCTCTTATGCGTTTATCCAGACAAATTGACGCCGATCAAGGTGTGCGACTTCGATCTTGGATCAGGTATCAAGTTCAACAATTCGATGTCTAGTCCTGTTGCGACGCCACAGCTTCTGACGCCGGTAGGTAGCGCCGAATTTATGGCGCCGGAAGTGGTTGAGGCTTTCATCGGCGAAGCCAATTACTATGACAAACGTTGCGATCTTTGGAGCCTCGGCGTTATCATGTACATCCTATTGTGCGGCTACCCGCCTTTCTACGGGAACTGCGGCACCGATTGCGGCTGGGGCAGGGGAGAGAATTGTCAAGCTTGTCAGGAGCTGCTCTTCACTAGTATTCAGGAGGGCAGATATGAATTCCCCGATAAGGAATGGAGATGCATTTCCGAAGACGCGAAGGACTTGATCAGAGGTTTGCTCGTTAAGGAAGCTCATCAGAGGCTCAGCGCCGATAGTATTTTGAAACACCCTTGGATTACTCCCGGCCCAACTTCCGTCGAAAATGGTGATCGATTGCTTACTACACCTCATATCATAAGGTAACTTGAATGTTTGTTTTATGTTGATCACCGTTTCTATCTGTTTATTTTACTGTGTAACGTTTATATTTATTTTGTTTTGTTTTTGTTTTTTGTTTTTTTCAGGAGGAACAACTCCGCTAGAGAACTTTCAGCGTTCGCTGAGTCTGCAATGGCTGTGAATCGTGTGGTGCTTCAGCATTTCTCATTGAACCTCGAGGAGTTAGCGGAAAATCGGGAGCCAAGATTATCCACATCGTCGACCGACGACGACAATCACCCGTATGGTCGCATGTCCGACTCGAGCAGCGAATTGTCTGAGAACAGCAAGCATTTGACGACGCATTCCTCTAGTGAGTTTGACGGAACGCGACAGAAGTCGTGCTCCGTACACTCAAGCGTCGACTTGAACGACTCCAAGATAATTGGCAAGAATCGCATTGTGGGCAAGGATTCGCTGCAAAATTACTTTGGACTGTCACCGCCAAGCGAGAGCCGTTTGATGCAACGCCGTTTGAAGACACGCTCGGACCTGCTTGAACGTCAAAGCGGCAAAGCGGTAATTGCTTCTCCAAGTGGCTGAGAGGTTGCTGTTGTACCGATCATTCTTTCTTGCTACAGTATCACTTGTCTCTTTGTAGCTACATGAGAATGCGAACGATGTACAATACTTTTTCCAACGGCTTAGAAAGCTAACGTAGCATAAGTCGAGTCTCTGATTCTGCGCAGAAAATGAGAGAACAGGCTCAATCATTTACGATAGTGACGACAGCGATAATGATCGACAAGTAATTCGTCGCGAAAAAAAAAATAATAATCCGTAATATATTGTCGTTATTTTTCCCTTTTTTTTGATAGTTATATGAGCTTTGTTTTGTTTTATTTAAATTTTTCCTTTTAGCAGAGATCAGTTTAGCGATAAGCAGATTGTTCTTATTTCCAACATAAAAATCTCATTTCCATCTCTTCATCTTCTTGATTTCAAATTAATCAGTAACGCGAATAGTTATGTATTAACATAGCATAACTATTAAAGTAATATTGTGTAAAAAAAAAAAAAAAAAAACAAATTATAAAACAAGAGTTTATACATACATATATATATATGTTTTTCTTTAGAATAAAAATACCTTACAAATTTATTAAATTAAAATAGTTATGCGAGGTACTTGAAATGTTGTACCTCGCAAAAATCTGTCGGTCACAAGGACGATACTTGATATAATTGGAATGTGGAAAAAAAAAAAAAATTGTATTGCAGTTTGACTTCGTCCGTCGACACGTTGCGCGCCACTCGCGCGCAGACAACTTCTCACTAGTTTTTTCTTTTTTTTTTTTCTTTTTTTTTTGGAAATAAAAACAAATCTGATTTCATTAATGTCGCAAGTTTTCACTGTGTGCTTTTCATTTCTCTCACGCAGTTCTTTTACATCGCATATGTAACATATATGCTTGGAAAATATACTATTCATCCGTAAAATTTCACGTACACACGGTAATGAGTTCAAGCGAGTCGACACTGTAAAAAATATCCCGAGGATGATACAGGAAGCACGTTGATGCATCAATCAACTGACAAGATCTTATTCCTTTTTGCTACGCAGTAATGTACATACGTTGCAAGATACACGCGCGCGTTCATGTGTAGACGAATTAAAAAGAAAATAAGATGTAAAAAACAAAAACAAAAAAAAAAAAAAAACAAAAAAAAAACCGGAATGAAAAATCGAAATCCTCGTGATAATTGATGCGCTGCCGAACGAATGAGTTTTGTTACGTAAATATATTTTTATTTCATCGCTGAATCCTTGAAATAAAACAGTCAAGTTAGACGCAACCGACACAAGGCGAAAAACAATGTTCCTTTTATTGCTATTTTGATATTCTTTCGAGTATTTGCGAGCCATAATATCCTCAAATAGAGCAAACGAGGAGTGAGAAGCGTCTTGGTCCACAGGTGCAAATTACAGTTTGCTCATTATTAGAGTAATAAAAAAAAAAAAAACGCGATAGATCGTAAGTCACAGCGAGATTTCAAAGCAAAACACATTCGAGAAACATAAATTAGAAAATTACGCGGAAATAGATTTATAGACGGAGAGTGTAACTGGTTGATGTAACATTTCTCAGCTGTTAAATCACGAGATATCGTTTATTGATTGGTGTTGTATGGGGTTTTTTTTTGTACAATTTTATTGACTAAAAGTTTATTTTAACGGCAATCCACCCGTGCGGTGACACGATACTTTATACATTTACAAATTATTTATTTCTAATTTTTTTTGTTATGCCATGTTTTGTCATTTATGAAATTTTGATTTTATTTAGATATTTGAATGTTTAATTATTGGTATGTACTTTCTTTCCCTCTATCAATTTATTACAGTCTGTCTATGATTAAAAAAAAAAAAAACAAAAAACAAAAAAAAACAAAAAAATGAACGAGAACTACTCGATGAACAGATTTTTTACTCAGGGCAGCTGGGAAAATGGTATGCATGATTATTCTGCATTAAGCTTGTACAAGTCGGGAACGGGAGAGATCGGGAGAGAAAGTGTAAGGGAGATATTTATAAGATTTTTGCTAGAGCGCAGTCCTTCCACAGAAAAAGAAAAAGAAAAAAAAAAGAAAAAAACAGTGGACGTCGGTGTTTGTAATTCATTTTTTCGGATCACAGAGTTTCTCGTGTGTGTAAAATTGTACAAATTCTCTATTCTGGAAGGCTGCACACGCAGGGAGTAACACGCGTTTGTACATGTTTATGGTTTCATTATTAGAAACTTTCTTAGGAAGTCATTCGCTTGCTGTAGAACATGGCGAACATGGCTTTTTGTCAACTTCTGTCTTCTTTCTACTTTGTAAGTAACCCGATAAGGTAAAAAGATATTAGTCTTTTTAGCGCGCGTGGATGAGATTATATAAAAAAAATATATATATATATACATATATATATATATATATATACATATATCTCTATGCATATATATACAATGAAAAATTCGTGTGTAGAAATAAGAAAGCTATGATGTTAGAAGTTACGGAAAGCAATATATTGTGCGGACTCTCTTATTAAGGAAATGAAGAAATATGTGTGTATGTGTGCTGGAAGAAATTATCGGCCTCTTTGCGCAAAGCCAAAAATTGTTTGTTCCTTTGATTATCGTTCTTGGTGTGTATGTGTGTATTCTTGACAAACGATCTTTTTCACCTGAAACAAAACCAATCATTTTTACGAATTCGCATTTTTCTCACTTTTTGTCTTGCGCAAAGTTTCATACAATCCAACACATGTTTAAGCAATTTAAGCAAAACAGCATGCATGCATTGGTTTGCTATCTTTTCTATAGAGTCCCGAGAAACGTGCAGACGACGAAAAAGAAGAAGAAACTTCTTCTGTATTTTGAGCGTGTATACATTGTAACGCGAAGCGTCGACATAGCTTCGGCTGTAAGTGAATGTTCTTTTATTTTTTTTTTTTTTTTTTAAGTTAATATATATGTACGTATCTATATGCATGTATATATATATACATATATGTATACATATATATATATGTATATATACACACACACTGTAAGAGACAGAGAGAGCAGAGTATAAAAGTGAGGGAATGTTTGTGAGATACGCTGCGCGTGACTATAATAAGGAAAACAATTATAAAAAGAAAAGAGAAAAAAAAACAAATGGCCATAATACACAGATCTGTAAGTGTAATGAGTTTTCACATATAATAATTGAGTGCGAGTGAATGTGTGTGTGCATGTGTGTAAGGCTGCAAGTAAAGATAGATACATATACATATATGTGTGTACGTGTTTGTGTGTGTGTGTACGTATGCGTGCGAAGTGTGGAGAAAATTTTAATTACTAGCCTTTAAGGGGAAAAATCTCCAGCACCTTGTAAGTTTGTAATAACTGTAAGATATACCACTGAACCATACCGACCACACATATGTCAGATTATTATTACTCACTTTTATTTTTGCCTATTTTCTTGTTATTGTTTTTTTTTTTTTTAATATCGTGTGTAATTCGCTCGATTTTATACTTTTTTTTTTTGGTTTATCCATCTATGAAGTGTAGAAAGTTACAGAGTCGCGTAATATATATACACACACATACACATACACACGTGTTTTATTTGTCAAAGATTGCTGTCGTGATGAGTTTTCTTTTTCTTCCGTATAATATGTGGCTGGGCCATGATTATATTGCGTTTGCATACACAACAGTGGTCGGTTAATAAGGAATGACAGACGTTCTCGTCTTCTTCCCTATGATATACGAAGAAAGCGTTCTTTTTTGCAAAGAGTTGCGGTTAAAGAGAATAATATCATATATAAATGACGTGTGGTGCGGGTTTTGTTGTGGTTGGTGTGCCACGTGTGTGTGTGTGTGTGTGTGTGTGTGTGTGTGTGGTACCAACAACTCTGCGAAGAATGAATCGCAATGTGAGAAGAATGTGAAATTTTCGTTACTCTTTTTCAAAAAACAAAAAACGTGCAAAAAAAAAGAATAAAAATAATCACACATTTCGAGTGATGAGCATCTCGTTCCTCTCGTCTTTTACCCGCACACTCTTCGTCGAGAATTCTCTTTTTTCGTCGAGATAATACGCCTATCTGGTAATAATTACGATCGACATACATATCTTTGCGAAGAGAGCGGTATCGTGACTAACAAAAAAACAAAAACAAAAAAAACGGAGGTATCTGTTGACAGTGCGCGAACTGTCGCGTTAAAAAAAAAAAAAAAAAAAAACCATCGGAGATAGTTCTCCGGTTTCAGTAAACACGTCAGTTCGGTTGGCATTGGAAAAAGAGTGTGCGGTGACACGAGTAGCAGATTCATTTTTGTTTCTTGTAAACACGTAATAATCCAATGTTTATAATCCGAAGATGGAATATAATTGAGAGAGACAGCAAAGGAGAAGGATGTAAATAGGATTTAAATCTAGCATAGTTATAGTGCCTAAAGTATCGTAAAACAATAGATAAGTAGCGTTCCCCATCTTTTCCTATCTATCTCCCCCCTCTCCTCACTCCTTCCCCATCGCTCCCTCGCACACACGTTCCTCACACGTTTTTCACGGCCTTTTCTCTAAACCGACTACCTTCTCTCTCGTCCTCGTATAGACCCGAAACATTCCTCTCTATTGTCCGACCACTAAATCCCGTTCCACTTCCCCCGCTTCTCTCCTTTCCATCTCCAAAAACTTGTTATAAAATGAAAAATGGCCAAAAAATATTTTTTATTTTTCATACCCACTTATATATATGTAGGACACATAAACGATATATTTTTTTGATATGGTTGAAAAGAGACGCGGAGCTTATATAATTGCGAAGGAAGAGAGGAGCTATCCATGTCCCTTGTTTTCTTCTTCTCCTTACAAATTGAGTTTGAGAATTATTCGGGGAGAAGATAGTGCAGACGGGGGGGATCCGAGATAGCTTCTCTTTTATTTCTTGCGTTTGGTGCGATATCTTATTGCTTAGTATTAGATGTTTTGTAAACCGAAGTAAAATAGCTCTTCAGTTTTCGGTACGAAAGAGTGAGCGAATGAAAGCGCGTGCGAGCAAGCGAGCGAGTGAGTGAGTAAAAAGAGAGAGAGAGAGAGAGAGAAAAAAAAATATGGGCTAAAGCCACTTTATAATATGCTCATACGTACTATTCTTACAGTTTAATTGTGCAAAAAAAATATTTAGCAAGTTCTTTTTCGAAAAACTTATAACCCAACAGAAAAACTTTTCGTCGATTTCTTTTTATTGTATCAAATTTAACTGCGTATAATATATCAAACAAAAAAAAAACAAAAAACAAAAAAACAAAAAAAAAACGAAAAAAAAATCCTGAAATTGCCGTTAGTCGGCCCTTCAAAATATTTGTTAAATTCGAATTATCACAATGAAATCACATGAACACAAGGCGCTAATTTGTCGACGTATGTACTTTTTAATTTCGTATTTAAGTGGCGTGCGTTTAAATCTAGCGAAATGTTGAGACTGGATTACATGAACGTACAAAATACTTTATACTTATAAGCGAATATGTTAATCAATCATGGTTTCAATGATCCAATTCGTGGCGTACGACCGTACCAAGTATATATATACATATATATGTATGTATATATACATATAAAAAGTTCGTAACATGATTGGTTCGATGACGAAACAAAACCACGCGTTTCTACACACGACTTGTGAGGTGTCTACAAATTCGAACGCAGCAGATGAGCGGCAGAGGCGTGATTTAATGGAAAGTAAAAATTCTAATTTGTCATTTATTTCTTCAACAAAATGATTGAGCATTAAAAACTGTATATTTTTTAAGTGAAAACATCGAAACATTTTTATTACATTCTCTCCTTGAAAACAAAAAGATACACACACATTTGAACATATACACATATATACATATATATACACATCCCTTTACATCGGATACTTGGAAGCAATAATATGCCGTAAATGTATTGACGAGGCATCAGTGCTCTGAAATGTTTTCTTTTTCTGATCCGCGATTTTTTTCCGTAATTTTCTCTTTCGTAATTTCACGTATGTGCGTGTGTGTGTGCGCATATATACGCATAAACACGCCGTCCTTGCGCGTCGACGTTCAAGTCGGTCACAAGTGCACACACAGAAGTACAAATCGCAAATGAATTTTGTGTCAGATGTAACAGGGTGTCGTAACGAGAGAGAGAGAGAGAGAGAGAGAAAAAAAAAGAGTGTAAAAATCTTTGCTGGTTATTGCGATTATTTTGAGAAAAAAAAGTATCACGCGCGAGAAATATATCAATCGTTCGCGCGAAGAGTAACGATATTTTTTTTCTCAAAATGACTATTCTGATAACTAGTAGCACCTGTGTTTTACACTTTTTAAACTCTATAACACATTAGCGAAGGCGACCGGGATACACTGAAATCTCGATGTTCCGAAACTGTCAAATTCTTCACATTTCTGTCCCGTATTTTCAATTGGCTAAAATCTTTCAATAGATCTCTTATCGAGAATACTTTTTATAGAAGTGAGAATCTTCTCTTTTTCTAAATGTATAAAATTCATCATGCGGTCGATTTGCACATCGTTATTTGCAAGGAAATGATATTGATTTGTCATCTTCTCGCCTCCGCTAAGATAAAAACGGGGTCGCGTTTTACCCGAACCTCGATCGACAACGAAAACACTCTCGGTTAAACACTAGAAGAATATTTTCTGATCAGAGAGAGAGAATTATATCTTATAGAAAAATATTGCACATTTGTTTTGAGGATACTACGCAGAAACAATCTGGTCAAAAAAACAATCGAGGTCGGTCGATGATAACGAACGCTAAAAAAATATAAAAAAAAATGAAAAAAAAAAGAATCGAATTACACCTCTTGTTCCGAAAAAAGCACTGCCGATTGCAACATGCTTTTTATAGAAAAAAAAAAGAAAACAATCGAAAAGCTTTTGTATCTTTGTTCGGTATCCTTGAAAAAAGATCTCGAGTATTTTTCTATAAGAACTCGTGCGATGCCTCCCTTTTGTGAGTGATTAATTAAATACAAAGTCTTAAGGAGAAAAAAAAAAGAAAAATTCGTCCTGTATTATTATTATAATAATAATAATCAACCAGCAACAAATCGCGTAAGAATCTCTACCTTGTTGACCTTTTGCGATGTTTAATTGCAGTTGAACGATTTTTCGGGATTTAACCAAGATCCGTTGTTGAGATATCTTGAGACTATTCTATGAAGAAGAAAGAGTGAGAGAGAGAGAGAGAGAGAGAGAGAGAGAGAGAGAAAGAAAGAGAGAAAGAAAAAGAGAGAGTAAATGAAAAGAGATGTAAAATGTTAAATCTCTCCGCGTACACTTCTTTGATTGCGAAACAAAAAGATCATGATATCGTGAGTGGAACATACTACATACATATGTACGACACATCGTGTGCAGTGACATTTTTTACAGTAGCGTCTCTTCGCTCCCATATCGGACGAAGTTAGAACAAACTGACTCCGTCTCTGTAAAACGCGGTCGCGTTCTCTCTCTTCGACGATATGATGATGTTAAAATCAATTGACAACCTGGAGAAGCATTCGTGATACATCCCCGAGACAAACGGTGGTCGGAGTAAACAGAATTTTTTTTTTTTTTTTTCAGAAACATGAATTTGTTCAGATCACAATTTGTACAGATTAACAATTACGTGTATAACGTGGCTGTAAAATGCCATATAATATAATATAATTGCGAGAGGATACACACACAAGAGGATTTTGAGGAGGAATGTTCTTCGCGTCGCGTTAAAAATACACAGGGTCGACCGAGTTTTCGTCGACAAATGTTTTTTGCCGACGTCACAAAAAAAAAAACAACTCGATCGAAATTGAAAAGACAAAATTAATCAATTTTATCGAAAATGTGAAGTTCCTTAGAAATTTGTTCGTCATCAAAATTATATGTTACATTGGTAACGTGAGTCAGTGAAAACCGATTGTCGATGAAATCCGTGTCGACAATTTTATTAAATGTAACTTTTTTGTATATTGTACACGAGAGAAGATTGAGCGCGCGATATGTATATGAGAATACTGAATGATACACAATTGTGCGAGAGAGAGAGAGAGAGGGAGAGAGAGAGAGAGAGAGAGAGAGAGAGAGAGAGAGAGAGAGAGAGTTGCGAATAAAACCAAAACTTGAAAATTCGAACTTCGATTCGAAAAGGGAAGAGAGAAAGAACGAAAAGTTTTCGTTTTCCGAAAGGTAGAAACCTGCCGTCTCTTTTTTTTTTTTCCCAAGAATCTCAATTTATCGAGAGAGGCGTTTCAAGAGACACGAGCACAATGAGATTAACGCGCTGATGATCTTTAAATAAGAAATAGAGGCGGTTAAGGTCGGTAAGAGGAAAACGAAAATAGCCATGGTCAAAGAGGATAAACAGGTTAATTATTATTAGAGTCATATATACTTTATTGGAATATATGAATGAAACACACTTACTGGGGAAAAAGAATAAAGAAAGATAAATATAGAAAAAAAATATCTCGAACCGGGTCTAGTTATTGCTCCCGAAACACATTAAGACTGTCTTCAAACGAAGAAATGCGATTGGTTTTTTCCTCATTAGATATGCGATTTTGTTTTTTTTATATAAGTTCTTGTTTAAGGAATTTTGGCATTTTTTTTTTAGAGGAAACTGCATTGAAAAAATCGCAGAAACGCGAATTTTCGCGCGACACGTTTGTTGTCCACCTACCTACGTTCGTTTATTTTGGACAACGTATTTCGCGCAGGTATTGATCAAATACACGGTAAACCGAATGTCGCGCGGAAACGTCCTCGCGACACATGGCACTTTGATCTTCAAGGCAGAGATATTGTCAGTCGAGTACTCTTGACGCAACAAGACGGATACAAAGGGTCGGAAACTTGATCGTATCCGCGAAATAATGTCCGATCAGCAAACCGATTCGCACGAAACGTCGAGGAAATCGGAGAGGCCGCCGTTCAAGTTGTGTTTTTCGCAAAGTCAGCAGATCGGACGATCCGATGCGTCGAAAACAAATGGTATACATACAAAGATATGTGTGTAATGCGAAAGTTTTTTTTAATGCGTTCTCCCACGGCCCCTAAAATCGGAGTCAAATCGATGAACGCGACAAAGTTATTAAAAAAAAATACACACTTATAGATAACTTTTGTTTTGTATAGATAACTTTTGTTTCAACATTTATTCGTAATTTGCGGTATGTTCATCTTGGTATATAGTCAAGTAATACGATAGACGTAATATAAATCTATAAATTTCAGTGAATGTTGTCACGCCAAAATTCTATTCGAGAGAATTCGCGCGGAATGCGGAAAACGCGAGCGACGAGAAAATCGCCACGGAGCGGGATAGAAATCCGAGGGATCTGTACCAATGGCCATTGCTGACTAGTCACACGTAATTTTCGCTTCACAATATCGCTTAAATTTGCTTATCAATTTCGTGATTGCCACACGGAAAACAATTTTTTTGCTGAAATAAGCAACAGATGATTTGGATTTTACGCGATATCCAAACCGGTGAGAAAAATACAGCAGGTTTAAGCAAATTCTTGATGGCAAAACTGTTTTCCCGTATGTGTAAGGAAATAATCACATACCGTTCGATATTTCGCTGGTTCAATTGCTTTTCAACGGCTTTTCAGGTACGGTTGGTGGCACGACAAAGGAGTACATCCGAAGAACCGATTCGACTTCCACAAAAGAACGTCGGACTTGGTGAGCTTTCAGATGAAAATTTACGCCGAGGATCGAAAGCTGAAAGGTCTTAAACAGTGAACGCGTATTGTATGCGCGCTTATTAAATCAACAAGATTGTTTTGATACGTACGAAAAATAAAAAAAAAAAAACACGGATGTGTTCTCAAAAAATTGTTTCGATCACTTTTCTGTTATCAAACAATCGCTACGATGACACAGATAACATGTACAACAATTGTAGCATAGACGCAATGAAGAATTCGCGTAATAAAATCTATAAAAAAAAAAAAAAAAAATACAATCTTTTCAAACTTAGAAATTAATCTTATGTCAAACTTACGTAGTTCAAGAAGACTTAGATCGTGATTCTTCGTGCGGGAAATAAGCTGCGTGAGAGACGAAGGACGAGAGATTCAGTGTTTTGTAGATACGAAGAGAACTAGAATCCTCGGTCGAAACACATTTCCTCCTCAACCGAGGTTTGGAGTTGCGCGTCATCGATCGTATGATTCTCTGGAGAGATCTGTCGATCAATATGATCGATGACGGCGCGCTGACGGTTCGAGATGTTTCGAGAATACGTACGCGTTTCTTCGAGTTGCCGGCACTGCCGCGATCTCGATATACAGTATGTACAAGAGTATCGATAGAACGCGAAAATATACAGTAACTTAAGCGTGTTGCGCGCGTTTTTCCCCTCACTCGGATAAATCGCGTTCCCGACCAATCGGTGGTCAGTTCATTGTACCGTCGTGAGATCACGACGGTTCGCCGCGCCGCTTGGCGCCAATTTGTTTTGTAAGCGTACGAACCGGCGACGAAGGCAGTGGCTGCGAGCTTAGTAAAAATACTCGGTGATATTTAGTGAGGTTAAAACGATTAACGTGACAAAAAAAAAAAACAAAAACGAAAATCCGAGTCGGATCACGTACCGTCAGAGATGAATTCCGGTGTGGTCGAGTGCACGCGGCATCACAAAGAAGACCGTTTGTCGAAATCCGGAGAACTCTCGCCACCCGAGAGGTGAGGCAATTTTTTCTCTAGCACACACACGTTGTTGTTACATGGCGTTGCATGTGAATATTTCTTTTGCGTACCTGTTGCTCCGGACGAAATGGGGGAAGGTAGATATAATATGCAGGTGCACACGCCCATTTATTGTTCTAGCAGGTAAGATAAGGTTAAACATCTCTCTCAAGTGTGTTTATATTTTTTGTATTCTTTCTCTCTCTTCCGATGAAAAGAAAGACGTTTGGAAGTTTTTTTGTACTTTACGAAGACTTACGTTGCACGCGTAAAAATTACAACACTCGGTCATCTGCTTCGTTTGCAATCTTGGGGAGGAAATATTCTGGGTGCTTTCCAGCTACCTACACACAGGCGACACTGTGTGTGTTACACAGGGTGTTTTTCCATCAAAACACGATGTAATGCAGTGTCCATTAGTTTGAGAAAGAGCATGTCAGTGTCTCACTCACACCAGTGGACGCTGTGTTACACGGGTGTCTCGATGGAAAGCACCCACAGTACCAGAAAGCACCCGTGTCTGTGTACGTCTTGCTGGAAAACACCCTCTGATACACGCGATTTGTCGATCGCGAGCGAGAGCAAATTACCGCGCTTTTGCTCTCGCAGACTTTTTTGGTTGTTCTCACAAGCGTTAAATATAAGTAAAATTCCGTCCGAAAATAATTTTTTTGTCGAGATTCACGAGTGTGTAGTTCAGACTTTGCGTGAGTAATTTTGAAGTATACGTTCATATATCCTTTACGTTCGAAGCAACGCATGCCTTTTAAGTAAACAACAGAAGTCACACACACGCACACATACACGCACGTAGCAAACAAATTTTTCTTTGTTTCTCTGAAGGTGATGGATTTTACACTTTGTGTTTATAAATTTCATTTGTACAATAATATGATTATATATTTTTTATAGTTTTTTATAATTAAATGTAGATGTTTATTTGTTACAATTGTGTTTGTAGTTAAGAACGTACATTTGTATTTAACATGTATTAATAAAACATGTATTAACGTTATTGAATAAATGAGACTGTCGCTTATTATATTTACACATGGATGATGCGTTTTGTTTATGTGCAATCACTCACATGTAAATAAAAAGGCACAATATTTTCTAACATATTAATGTATGTGAAAAATGTTTATAGTAAACGATTACGCTTGAGCGATGACTACTATAACAGTCTAAGCAGCACACTCAATAGTGATAGTCAAAGTGGCACAAAATGGTTGTATTCGGGGAATACAAGTTTTGTGGAAAATGATGAAATTCTACAAGATATGGGAGTTGGTATGTTGGAAGATGAAATATCAAACTCTGAAAGTATAAAAACATTACAGTCTGAAGACTGCCCAATTTTACCTACGAGTTTAGATAATAATAAGAGATTGTTGTTGAATGAGCCTGTTTTCGAGTATCAAGAAGAGGTTTACACGAGCTGTGAAAACACAGACAGGTATGTATAACAAATTGCAAAGTGTTTGTGTAGAAATTTTGAACCTGTTGATTGTTTTTGTTTGTTACTTGTAATTGTGTGTTTCTTGCAGAATACAACATGATTCGGATGATTTAACCGTATTTGGTAATGAATCCGGTTATTCCTCGAGAGTGGAACCTGATAATTTTGGGGAATCAAAAGCGAGTTCAACTAAAAAGAAAATGGATAACTCTGTTGATAAGAGTGCTCTAGATATAGACAACTTTTATTTATTTAGAAGAAGAAAGCCCTCTGTCGAAGGTGAAGATAAATTTAACAAATTATCAGATGAAATAATTTTGATGATATTAAAATGGCTACCTAAGAAATACTTGGTAAGAATAATGACAGCGTCTGTGTGTGTCGTAACAATTTTTATTTCAAATTATTTTACTTATAATATGTGCTGAATTACTACTCATATAAAATATATTTATTTTGCACACAGGTAAATTCCATGTTGGTGTGCAAACGATGGTGTCAAATAGCTCGTGACGAAGTGTTATGGACTAGATTAGATTTGAGCAGCAAAGTTTTAAGCAAAGGCACATTAGGGCACATATTGCCGAGAGGATTGCAAATTCTAAGACTGGCACAAGCAGAGATCGCGGATCCTGTCTTCTGTGAAGGCAGTGAAGTTCTTAGTGATTCTTACGTCAGTAAATTACAATATTTAGATCTGTCGATGGCAGTTATATCCCCGACTGGTTTAGCGACGTTACTGTCCAAGTGTAAATATCTGAAGAAATTGTCACTGGAAAAGTGCGTACTAAACAGAGACTGCTGTAGAGCTATTAGTCAAAACACCGAGTTAGAAGTTTTAAATCTAACAATGTGTGAAAATATGGACAGTGACTGTATTGCGGATTTGATGAAGCTTAAATGGTAAAAGTATTAAAAATAAAAATAAAAATGTATTTTATATATATACAGATTTAATCTGTCACATTTCAATTTCAAAACAATCAATGAATTTGTGTTTCAGCTTGAACTCACTCAATATGTCATGGTGTTCCTTGGACAACGATTGTATGACGTTGCTTTGTCGAACGTTGACACCGACCATTACACGTTTGAACCTAGCGGGTTACAGGAAAACGCTGATTGATGATAGTAAGTGGATCAATGAACGTTTTTTTTTTTTTTTTTATTTATCGGCTGGACATATTTTTTCGGTTCTGACATGCCTTTGGTTTTTTTATTTTCAGACGTGAAAGACTTGTCAAACAGGTGTCCGGATATTATAGAATTAGACTTGAGTGATTGCGCCATGCTTACAATGCAAGCTGTTCCTAGTTTATTGAATTTCTCGAAATTGGAGCATTTGTCGCTGAGCCGTTGTTACTGCATTCCACAATCCGCGTACATGAGATTGGCTCACATGCAGTGTTTATTGTATTTAGACGTTTTTGGTTTAATGTCGGATGCGGTACTCAAATCATTTCAGGCAACCTGTCGCGATCTCGAAATCAACAAGTTCCTGTATAGCTCGATCGCAAGACCGACAGTTGGTATTCGAAGGACCAGTATCTGGGGCATTCGAGTTAGAGATTGAGTTTTATTAGGCAATATCTTTTATAATAATGGCAAAATGAGAAATCATTTCGTCTTGGTCTTCTTTGAGTCAATTTAACTTTATCAGTAGATATCCATTGCATTGATAAAGTTGAATTCAACTCGAAAAATTTATATATCAAATAATGTGTAAATTTTTTCGAAATTACTAATGAATTGTTGCTCAGATATTTAAAATTTTTTTGTGTGAATGTACATGTACACAGAAGTATTTCAAGACTTGTTTGAGTGTTCTTTTGTGTTGGCATAATTTTCAGATAACAAATTTTCTTATGTATTTGGATTTATCTGTCAACGCGCTCTTACTTATATATAGAAGAATTTTCAGTAGTTTTGGAAAGTTATCTGTGTATATAATTATCGCTTGTGTAATAAGGTATTTTGCACCGATACTTAACATATCAAATTATCTCTGCTGTGCGAGAGACTATTTTATTTATTTCGACTACACCTTTAGATCATTTATATACCAATTTATTTTGTCGACTTTTTTTTTTGCATATGCGATAGCTCTTACCAGTCAAGATCTCAAGAAAACAAATGATTAATAATTATTTATATGTAAGTATATATATATATATATATATCATGTTGTGTTTACACAACGAAGAACAAAATATCAAAGTCCAAAGTGCACTCGTAATAAAAAAAAAAATTTAAAACTATCATCGATTATAAATTTTTATACACAGCAGAACTAATCTATATATATTGTATATTATACTTAACACTCGAATTGTTTCGAATTGAAAAAGTTCTTAAATGTATTTGGAATATACTGTACAATCTTCACGCAACTCTGTACAGAATTTTTTTTCACAAATTACACACACGTGCGCATATAATATATATTTCTCCAAATTCCTCAAGGTCTTTTTGTGGGCGCGCACGCATCTAATTTTAGAATCACTAGGCCCTTTTTTTTTTTTTTTTTTTTTAATCAACCGCTTCGTTTCCGGATATTAGTGCATTTGACAGCGCTGTGTGATTCCTAGTGATTTTTCGCGTCTTTCTTCCAAGCCTGCCACCTACGGAGCCTTCGCATGCGCTCCATTCCAAAAAAACCCATCAGCCATATTGGTGTGTTGTATCACTTCTAAAACTTTCGAAGCTTATCAAAGGTATTTGTCAGGTATGGTTTCATCGCTTAGACTGTCGCTTGCGCTGATTGAACGGCGATTGTCTCGCAACGGGTCGTGATATACGTGAACGCGTCGTATCGCCAATCTTCTTTTCGACGTTCGCCAGCAAAAAAAGTTGGGTTAATGTTGCCACCTTGGCTCGCGACAATCACTTCTGCTTGCACGATCCCACACAAGACCCATGTCTTGTGTGAACGTAAAACGCATATGCTATCGCACGATTGCGCGCATTCGAGACGCGGGATGCAATTCGTGCTTTCTCGATTCACGGTCGTGATTGAATCGCGAAAGTCTCGAAAATCCTCCTGATGAACTGAGTACGTACAATTGCTTCACTTCTGTCTGTTATGTTGCCGTTTAGTAAATTCTTCTTGTTGTTGAGCTTTGTCGTGTGCGAGATATATTACATATAATAAACTTCGCGCTTGTCCGGATTTTATCGGACCGAAATCGCCGATCGCGCGATTTTTTTCACCGAGCAACAGGTACAGCTTTGTGCGAATATCTCACTTGCGATTCTCTCGAGATAAAACCAAATGTTTTCTCCATGTTGTGTCATATTTTGTATTCGCAGATGTGTTAACAGATGATAAGTCTCTTTCATCGAGAAAAGGTCAAGTTTCTTATTTATTTATGATCTCGCGGGGAATAGTTGTTCCGTACTAACGTTTCAATTTTTAATCTTTGATTCATTCTTATTCAACTAGATGATTTGAATTGGCGAGTACTTCTTTTGTTTCGCAAATATTGTTCGATATCTAAAAATACTTGAAATCCATGTTGCACAGATGTTCAGTATTCTTAGATATCTTTCAATCTCTCAGATATCTTTTAATCTCTCTTGATCTGTATGACATAATTAATTTTGATAAAGATTTTATATATATTGTTATTCAACGAATTTTTATTGATCTTATATTATATTTTTCCTCAGGAGATTAAGAGTGCATCATGACGGATTCCATGAAATTTGGTCCAGAATGGTACGTGCGATCTACTGCTGTATATAATCGAGACTCATAGATTGTTTTCGCAAATCTGCGGTTGCGAAAATTATTATTTATAAATTCAGTTTTTATTAGTATCTTAAATGGTAACATTTATACTGATGCACACGCACACACACACAAACAGGTTGCGCAATTTGTCTGGAGACAGTTGCAATACTGCTAGTGGTAGTGGCGGGGGGACTACCACTTTGAGTACTCCGAGATATCAATTGGCAGAGCATAGATACGGTCGGGAAGAAATGTTGGCCCTATTTGATCGAAATAACAAACCGCCAGAATTATTAACAACTTTTGCGGCATTGTATGTGGAGAAAACTCAACTTCCATTGGCTCTTATACAAATGACAGAGGATGAAACGGTACACAGACATTTTCAAATAATTTATAATTTTGAAAAACTTTTATATAGGGATACGCAACTTGCGACCATTTTTATTTTTGAAGCAAAATACTTTTATTGTTTTGTAAGATATAAAGTTATTAAATACGCATACACTTTTCAGCGTATGTGGAACGGAGGGATATCAAATATAGGTGGCCGTGGCAGAGGTAGTAGTGTTGATCGTGGAGGACGTGGTAGACCTGGAAGAGGGGGCTTGTATTCGTCCCATTATTCACGAGGAGTTGGCTTTGATGATTCTGGCGATGGTATACGAACAGAGGGCCAATCATTTCAGGTATATTCTATAGACGTAATTCTCTTTATATCTTTAAAAGAAAATTTGCTAAGTTTTTGTTTTAATTTCTTTTTTTTAGAACATGTTAAAAAGTTAAAAATATTTCACTTGCAGGTAAGAAACAGGCCCTTTGATAGATCTCAGAGTGAACGGGGCTGGTCAGAAAGGAACGGCGCTACAGATCCAGGGGAATGGAACGGCTCAACTAGTCCGAGAAAAGAGCTCAGTCGCGGAACTGGTAGTGGTAGTTCGCTGATGGAGAGTAATTGGAGGCGTCATCGTGGAGAAGACGATGACGGTTGGCGCAAGTGGGGTAAATGTGCACTATTTGTCTTTCAGTGATTTTGATTTATATTTATACGTAACAAAACGATTATATTTATATCTATCAGGAAGAAGTAGCTGGCGCGAGAGTGGCAGTATGGATCGAGACAGGATTGACCGAAACGAGGGTGAAAACGAGGAAGGTAGAGGTGGACCTGGAAGATGGGAGCATCGGGCAAGTCATAGATCCTCTCACGATTCAGGTCACCATCCACCACCGCCTCGTACTGCTCGTACTTGGGAATCAAATCATCACGATAACCATGACAATCTTCCTGAATGGTAAATATTAATATTCCATTAATTTAGTAATTTATGGTTGGTTATTTTCTTGTATATTGCCATTGTTCACGGTCAAGTCTTGTATTTAAAATTGACTTAAACTCTTGTCTGCGGATGCTATATAGCCAATGAGAAATGGTCTTTACAGAATTATCAAAATGAACGTACGATGAACTCAGGAGGTAGAATTAATGAATATCGAATGTGACATTTCAGGGCTACGGAGAATCCAACTGAGAGCGGTGGCAGTTTCGACTCTTCGGGCGCATTTCATGGATTATATTCAGACGATGATGAGGACGGTGTGGCGGGCGCTTCCCAATCGGGTAGAACTCGACGCGTATCGGAAGGAAGTGCTTCTAACGTAGTAAAATCTAATAGTAAACCATTAGCTTTTGGAACGGGTTCCGTCCCGTCGTCATCAAATCGTCAGACGAGTAATACAATAGCCGGTACATTAGGTAAGGAACGGTTGAAGCCATTGGATCCTCTCGAGAATAAAGATGATTCTGGAAAAGAGGGTAGATGCGATTCACCGTCCGTCAAACCAGCTACAGTTTCATTGACAGAAACTATTCCGACAAAAAGCTTAATGACATCTACGGATCTCACGCAGAAAAAGACTATCGGATCCGCGACTGCGGACACGATCGAAATCAAAGAAAAACCTGACGAACCTCCGAGCGGCAGTCACAAAGAGAAAGAGACTTTTAACGTGCAAACGTTAAAAGTTAAAACGGAAGTTACAACGGAGCCGGGCACACAAATAAATGCTACCACTAATCGACAAATTCCTCCGGATCTGTCGACTTCTGTACATAATTCGGTTGCCGCCAGCAGCAGGCAAAAAACAGATGACGATCTGGACGGACGAATGGAGGAAGAGATAGACAAATTAATGGCAGATGAGGAAAGTCATAAAGAAAAAACATCTGTAAACAGTGTTCCGCCTCCAATTGGCAACCAACCTTCCGGAGTTTCCGCGACAGGTAGTCAGGAAAAGTGGTATTATCGTGATCCACAGGGTGAAGTTCAAGGACCGTTTTTAGCTAGCGAAATGGCCGAGTGGTGCAAAGCTGGTTATTTCAGCACGGCATTGTTGGTGAGACGAAGTTGCGACGAACGATATGCTACTCTTGGTGATCTGATAAAAATGTGTGGTAGAGTCCCCTTCTCGCCTGGTCCACCGATACCTCCGTTAAAAGTAAATATTTTTATTTTTATATATTGTGTATTTTTATAATATGTTGCATGATATGAGTAACGTATATATATGACGAATATTGAACACATTTTTACGCAACAACATCGAATTATCTTTATTTATTTATTTATTTTTTTTTTTATTATTCGCAGTTAACCGAGCAGGTGATTCCACCTGTTCCTAACACTGTGCCAGCCGGATTAACCACTGGTGCTTTACCGAAGACGGGAATGGAGGATCCGCTATTGTTGCTGCAATATCAGCAAATGGTGCTTCACAATCAGTTGCTCGTGAGGCAAGCAAGAACATCAGCGATAGCAAAGTTGTCTCAGTCGGAGCATTGGGCGACACTGAGTCCTGTCGAGCAGAATCAACTGATACAATATGTCATACAAGATGGAATGCCGGAAATTCCAGAAGTACCTATAGCGACGAATCCATTTGTGCCTCATATCGTCTCTCAACCAACTAATCCCGTTATACAACTTTTCACTCAGATGCAGGTAATTTATTATTATTATGTATTTATTTTTCGAACTTGCAAACGTTTCAGTTTACATTGGGATGACGGTATATACTCTACAGGCGAAGACGCAACCCGAGACTCGCTTACCAACAAATCCGCACACAACCGCGTCGGCACATCCGGCTACGGTAGATCCTATACAGCAACTGATTCAACAAATGGGCGGTATACAAAATTTACCCACTGTGCAGCAACCGAATATCGCTCCAGCTCCAACGTCAACGCAAGAAGACAATCCAATAAAGTCTCTGTTGCGTCAGCTCAACGTCAATACAAATAGTCATTCACAAACAGCACCTCACTTAGATACAGCCGTGTGGCCGCCACCTCCGCCGCAAATAGCTCCCCAGTTCAACGCGCAGAATTGGTTAGCGCAGGTGCGTTTTAAGTTGTTGTAGAACTTACTTAAAACCAGTAAGTTCATACAATATTGCAAAAATGTTGGTATCTTATTTTTATAAATTATATTTATAAATTACACAGCCACACAAAAAAAAAAAATTTCTTTGGCCTGGAGATCAGACCATGTTTATTATATGTTTTTGGGGTCGCTGAATCCGAATCCGAGGTCCATTAAACCCCATCGGGTCGGAGTTCCGCCATAACCTCAAAAAACACCATAATCT